AAATGAATTTATTAGATTACCACATGCAATAAAATCAGAATGGTCCAAAAATGGCTGTCTCTATTGGAGAAGCCAAGAATATAGTAGTTCCCCAATCCAGGTGTCTTAAGTACTAAAACAATACAATCTTATGCCAAGGATCTGGTAGATGCTTTCTCTTCAGTACACATTGAAAGGCTGAAGAAGCTTGTTCTAATGCCACAGAAGGAACTAGCAATGGTAAGAGCAATTGGATAGATGAATTTGTCAGCCAGAGTGAAAACCAAGTAAACAAAAAGCTTTCCTTCTTCCAGGTCTGGCTACTACCAGTAGGTAACACCCACATTTAGGGAAGGTCTTCCATATTAATTAAGGCAATCAAGACAATGCCTACACAGACTTTCCAGGGCAACCCAATATGTACAATCCCTCATTGAGACCCTCCCCCTCTCCCTTTCCCCCCACTCCACCCCACCCCACCCCTACCCCCATGCTTCCAACTTTTGCCTGGTTATCTTGTTTGCTTCCAATTTCCAAAAGGATCTAAATATGTTTTTTTTTTTTTTTTTTGGTTCACCTTATTGCTTAGCTTTTCTAGGATCACTAACTATAGGCTCAATGTCCTTTGTTTATGGCTAGAATCCATTAATGAATTAGTACATACCATATTCGTATTTTTGGGTCTGGGTTAACTCACTCAGGATATTGTTTTTTATTTCCATCCATTTGCATGCAAAATTAAAGATGTCATTGTTTTTTACCGCTGAGTAGTAGATGTGCCACACTTTCTTTATCCATTCTTTCATTGAGGGACATCTAGGTTGTTTCCAGGTTCTGGCTATTACAAATAATGATGCTATGAACATAGTTGAACAAATGATTTTGTAGAATGATTGAATGGTATTGCTGGATCCTGAGGTAGGTTGACTCCCATTTTCTGAGAAACCGCCACACTGATTTTCAAAGTAATTGCATGAGTTTGTATTCCCACCAGCAATGGATGAGTGTTCCCCTTACTCCACATCTTTTCTAGCATAGTTTATCATTGGTGTTTTTGATTTTAGCCATTCTGACAGGTATAAGATAGTATCTCGAAGTTGTTTTGATTTGTGTTTCCCTGATAGCTAAGGAAGTTTAACATGTCCTTAAGTATCTTTTGGCCATTTGAAATTCTTCTGTTGAGAATTCTCTGTTCAGTTCAATACCCCATTTTTAATTGTTCATTAAGAATTTTAATGTCTCCCTGCGCTCACTGCCTCCTCGCCGCAGCCCCCGCCGTCACCACCTCCGAGAAGATGGCTGTGCCTCCCACATATGCTGATCTTGGCAAGTCTGCCAGGGATGTCTTCACCAAGGGCTATGGCTTTGGCTTAATAAAACTTGATTTGAAAACGAAGCCGGAGAATGGTTTGGAATTTACCAGCTCAGGCTCCGCCAACACAGAGACCACCAAAGTGAACGGCAGTCTGGAAACCAAGTATCGATGGACTGAGTACGGCCTGACGTTTACAGAAAAGTAGAACACAGACAACACCCTGGGTACCGAGATCACCGTGGAAGACCAGCTCGCGCATGGGCTGAAGCTGACCTTCGACTCATCCTTCTCACCTAACACTGGGGAAAAAAAATCAAGACAGGGTACAAGAGGGAGCATATCAACCTGGGCTGTGATGTGGACTTTGACATCGCTGGGCCCTCGATCCGGGGTGCCCTGGTACTTGGCTATGAGGGCTGGCTAGCAGGCTACCAAATGAATTTTTAGACTTCCAAGTCCCGAGTGACCCAGAGCAACTTTGCAGTTGGCTACAAGACGGATGAATTCCAGCTTCATACTAATGTGAATGATGGGACGGAGTTTGGTGGCTCCATCTACCAGAAGGTGAACAAGAAGTTGGAGACTGCTGTCAATCTCGCCTGGACAGCGGGAATAGTAACACTTGCTTTGGGATAGCAGTCAAGTACCAGGTCGACCCTGACGCCTGTTTTTCGGCCAAAGTGAACAACTCTAGCCCAATCGGCTTAGGGTACACTCAGACCCTCAAGCCAGGTATCAAGCTGACGCTGTCAGCTCTGCTGGATGGCAAGAACATCAATGCGGGTGGCCACAAGCTTGGTCTAGGACTAGAATTTCAAGCATAAATGAATATTGTACAATTGTTAATTTTAAACTATTTTGCAGTATAGCTACCTTCAGAATTTAGTGAACCTTTTAATGTTGTACATTGGGGGATGCGAGAATCGATAAATACCACGTTAGATCTCCAGGTTAAGGATGACTCGGCTTTCCGGTGTTTACCATTTCAGAGGTACAGCAGACACCCCATTCCTGAAAGGGTCCTTTTAGCTGTAGACGTGGGCTGGGGAGGAGACCCTCTAGAGATGCCAGGCCACAAGTGGAAGCTCGGGATATACGGGCCCTTTGTAAATCTGTATCGAGTCCACAGGTGAAATTGTGACTTCCTGAGCAACCTTGGTGTCTTGATCTAACTGCTGAGAAGCATGTGCACCTGTGTGCACCTGTGTGAGAGGGCCTTTCCCAGACAGATCTCCGTGGCCTCTTCCCGTCCTTGCCCAGTTACCTGTTTTACACCAAAAGCACTCTTCTGGTTAGCTATTCCTTTGTGCCATTTTAGGGTGGAGAGAGTGCGCCAATGGAGCCGTCATTTAGTACTTCATTCTTCCTTGTGTTGTGGCATGTTTTTTTTCTTTTCTCCTTTTTTCTTCTCTCTCTCTCTCTCTCTCTCTCTCTCTCTCTCTCTCTCTCTCTCACACACACACACACACACACACCATTGCACTAGAGTATGAGACAGCTTTAAGCTGGGCAGGTGATTGTGGTCACCATGACAACACTAGGGATCTAAAGTGACCTGTTAAAGCCACACCACTCTTTTTTTTAGCAGTTTAATGGGTACATTAGAGAGTCTTCCATTTTGTGTGGAATTAGCTCCTCCCCTTCAAATGCTGTAATTAACATCACTTAAAATAAAACTTGAATAAAATATTGAAACCTCAAAAAAAAGAATTTTAATGTCTAGCTTCTTGAGTTCTTTATGTATTTGGGAGATCAAACCTTTGTCTGATGTGGGGTTGGTGAAGATCTTCTCCCACTCAGTAGGGTGCCATTTTGTCTTAATGACTGTGTTCTTTGCTTTACAGAAGCTTCTCAGTTTTAGAAGGTCCCATTTATTCATTGTTGCTCTTATTGTCTGTGCTACTGGGGTTATACATGGAAAGTGGTCTCCTATGCCCATGTATTGCAGGCTACTTCCCACTTTCTCTTCTATCAGGTTCAGTGTGGTCACATTTATATTGAGGTTTTTAATCCATTTGGACTTGAGTTTTGTGCATGGTGATAGATATGGACCTATTTTCATTCTTCTACAGGTTGACATCCAGTTATGCCAGCACCATTTGTTAAAGATGCTTTCTTCCTTCCATGGTATAATTTTAGCTTCTTTGTCAAAAATCAGGTGTTTATAGGTGTATGGATTAATATCTGAGTCTTCAATTCGATTCCATTGGCCAACGTCTCTGTTTTTATGCCAATACCAAGCTGTTTTCATTACTGTAGCTCTGTAATAGTTTGAAGTCAGGGATGGTAATGCCTCCAAAAGTTCCTTTATTGTATAGGATTGTTTTGGCTATCCTGGGTTTTTTGCTTTTCCATATAAAGTTGATTATTGTTCTCTCAAGGTCTGTGAAGAATTTTGTTGGGATTTTGATGGGGTTTGTGATGGGGATTGCATTGAATCTATAGATTGCCTTTGGTAGAATTGCCATTTTTACTTTGTTGATCCTACCAATCCAAGAGCATGGGAGATCCTTCCATTTTCTGGTATCCTCTTCAATTTCTTTCTTCAAAGACTTAAAGTTCTTGTCAAATAGATCTTTCACTTCCTTGGTTAGTGTTACCCCAAGATACTTTATGCTATTTGTGGCTATCGTGAAAGGTGAAGTTTCTCCATTTTCCCTCTCCGCCTCTTAATCCTGTGTGTATAGGAGGGCGACTGATTTTTTGGAGTTGATCTTGTATCCTGCCACATCACTGAAGTTATTTATCAGCTGTAGGAGTTCTTTGGTAGAGTTTTTGGGGTCACTTATGTACACTATCATATCATCTGCAAATAACGAAAGTTTGACTTCTTCCTTTCCGATTGGAATCCCCTTTATCTTCTTATATTGTCTTATTGCTATTACTTCAAGCCCTATATCGAAGAGATATGGAGAGTGGACAGCCTTGTCTTGTTCCTGATTTTAGTGGAATTGCTTTGAGTTCTTCTCCATTTAATTTGATGTTAGCTGTCAGGTTGCTGTAAATAGCTTTTATTATAATCTCTTCAAGACCTTTATAATAAAAGGGTGTTGAATTTTGTCAAATGCTTTTTCAGCATCTAATGAAATGATCGTATGTTTTTTTTCTTTCAGTTTATTTATATGATGGATTACTTTGATAGATTTTTGTATGTTGAACCAGCCCTGCATCTCTGGAATGAAGCCTACTTGATCATAATGGATGATTTTTTTATGTGTTCTTGGATTCGATTTGCCAGTATTTTATTGAGAATTTTTGCATCGATGTT